CGACAGGCCAAGACTGATTTGTGCCCTGACTTCCCAACACTTGTGACCTCTCCTAATCTCCCTATGGCTCAGGATCAGCAGAATTCGGTCCTCTAGCCCACAGGGGGCTTTACCTCAGTCAGGGCTTATTTTCCTTAATTGTTCTAAATTTCCTAGCCTGATACTCCCTCCTCTTCCTTCTGAGGCTCCCTGTGTAAATAGAAAACCGGTCACCTGACGAATAAATATGCAGCAGCAGCCACCCAATGGCAGGTGAAGTGGGGGTGTAGATTACAAACACCTGTGCTTTCAAGACACCCTGTACTTAAGAAGATTCATTCTTGCCACAAGCTCGTCCTGAGTCTCCAAGGCAGGCACAGCTGTGGGGAGAGGCGCTGGAGCTACAAAGAGGAAAGAAGCTCCCCGCTTTCCCCTGGGGGGTGGTAGGGGCAGAAAAGAAACAGCTATAGCAGGATAATTCTGCTACATCTTGGGTGAAAGGGCTCTGGTGAATTTCACTAGGCATCAGTTCTCATTGACCAAGTATCTTCCTATGGGGGTTGTGGCTCTGAGCTCCAAAGAACTCTGCCCCTGTTTAGAAGGCAACCTTTTTATAGAATGGGGATTCCCGGTTCTAGTTTGGATTGGATCTGTTAAGGGAAACACAGGTGGAGGGGAAAAGCCAAGTTTGATGTTGCTGATGCATTTCAGGCAGTGGAGACAAAAAGAGATCAAGAGTGAATTGGAGACCCCGAAAACTATTCTTCCTGTAAAAATGGTGTAGACACCAAGCAGGAAACAGATACCTGGCCAGTTACTGAGAAGGGCTGGGGAACTAAAACAGCCTCAAAGAAACTCAGAGTAAAAGTACAGATTTCCTACAGAAGTCTTTCCTACTTCTTTTTATTTTTTAAGTCAGCTGGACTCCCTGGTGACCCTCCGCCCTTCCTCTATTAACTCAGAGAAAACGTTTGCCCTGTTTCAGAGCAGCAAAGGCCAGATCTGACAGAGCTGGGTCCTGTCTTGGCCCACACTCCCCCCACCCGCTCCTCCCAGGAGCGCCAGGATGGTGGAGCCTCAGCAAAAGTGACAAGGTCTTCTGATCAAAGAGGGGAAGACACAAAACCGAACACCAGGCCACGTGCACATTTCCCCACCAAAACAATTCGGAAATAAACCTTCAGGACACCTCTTCTGCAGAATTTTAAAAGCCTCAACCCAAGAAGACCAGGAATTTATCCTCTCCTCCCTGCAGCCCCCCAACATTTCCCCACCCCCATGGACAATCCAACTTCAATAGGAACGTCTGTCAAAGCCCAAGAAAGGTAAACTCTCAAAGGGAGGGAGGGAAAATAAAAAACAGCCCTCACTCCTGGAACAAGCGGTCACACCAGAACAGCCTTCCCGACCTGCGCTCACGTGGCCCCACCTGGGGCGGGCGGGGTGAATTACTCCCGGACCCCAAGGTGTACTGGGGGTGGGGGCTGACGTCGCGGCGGGGGAGGGCCCTGGGGTTCACCCCCGGCTGCCACCTCCCTCGCCAGGAATCCCTGGCTCACCAGCTTCCCTTTGACCTACACTTAATTATTTTGAAGGTTTCAAAGTCCAAATAAGGTGAAGTCAGGAGGGGCTCCCCAAACCTCCTGCCGTCACCCCCACCCGTCCGGGCTGAAAGCGCGACTTGCCCCGAAACAGAAAGTTACAGGGCTAGCTGCTGCTGTCAGTGCGCAGGAAGGCTAAGGAAACAGGAAGCCACGCCAAATACCCTCCTGAGCTTCCCCGGCCCCCTTCTCCGACCTCGATAGAACAAAACCTTCCAGGGAATCCCAGGCAGGAAGGGGGGCGGAGGTGGGGTGCAAGCCACACTCGCGCAGAGACAGTGCAAGGGGGTTGTCTGCAGAAACGGGGAAAGAAGCCCCAGCACTTGTTGGGGTGGGGGCATGCTACCCGATCGGGGCGGCCTGCAGGAAAGTAACTTCACACCCGGCTCTTAATTCGCCCTAGAAGGCTTCGGTGCCCCTGCCCCTCGCTGCGCCGCCGCCGCGAAGCCGGCTCCGGGCAGACAAAAGGAGCGAGACGCACAAGCCCCGGCGGGGGCGGGGGCGGCGGG